CCCCGTGGGTTTCTGGGGAGAATGCAGCCACACAAAACCCAACCGGGCTTACCACCAGTATAAGCCCAAGCGAGACGCCGAACGCGGTGTGACGATGCATCCACGAAAAGGTGCCCGCCATTAAAATCGGGTTGCCCGCTCAGCCGGCTGGTTGTCATCTGCAGCAAGGAGCCAACAATGGCTCGCTCATCCAACACGTCTTATGTGCTCTGTCCCCGGGGCTGTGGTGGCTCGAGTTGGCGCAGTGAGAGGATTCAACATGTAGGATAACCGTGGTTCCTCGCCAGGAACGACTCAGATACAAGCTCCTCCCCCGTTCGAGTGTCTGAAGACACGAGTAATATGCGTTCTGGTATATGCCTCTCCAGCATGACGAGTTGTTCTTCTGAGGGTTCGGAATTCGGCTCCCGCAGTAACACCTCACACAACAGCCATCCATGCCGAAGGTCTTGGGGGTCGGGGTGGTGGAAAGCGCCCAAAGCGGTGTCAGAGCCGTTCAGCGATCAGCGATGCTGAAAGGTACCAACGGCGATGAACTGCGGCCCGCAGCAGCCATGGAGAAGGGAACCCATTAAATCCGGCTCAAGCGCGCCAATCCGGCCAGTCACAATCATGGGGCTTCATCTTGAGGCGTGCTGGACCAGGACGGCAGAAGGTGGAAATAGGCAGTGCCTGCATCGCTCATCAGCCTCTCTCCTGCACCGGAAGAGGTGCTAGTCCAAACCATTTCCATTCCTATTTCCGGCGATCTTTTGTTGTTGGCCGACTCGTCGCACCTTTCGTTCCCAATCGTACAAAATAACGGCGGCCGAGGTGTTTCGGTGATTTGCGCTGCAAAAATCGAGACGCTTGGCATCGGGAGCGATAGCCGGAACAATAACTCACGGTAACGATACCCGGAAGTTAAGACGTTAAGCGAGCACCGAGGGCCGCGGGAAGCCAGGTGTGTGTGAATGTGAGAGGGGTGGGGGAGAAGGAGGGGGGATGCGAGAGCTCGTTGGGGCTGGTAAGAGGTTTTCGACCTCTGACATGCGCCGGATGCTTCCTCTGTCGTCGCGAATTCCATGACGGATGGATGTGCTGAGGCTGGGCTTTGCATTGATGGCGCGATCATGCGGTCGCAGTCTCGCAGATTTACCAACCGGACAGGCAGCCGAAGTTGCAACTTGTGTGCTTCAGCGTTGGCCGTTGTCTCTAAACCCTTCGATCTTGTGGTGTTCGTGCTTTCCCTCACCAATTAGGGCTGCAGGGGGTTTTCCGAACTCGACTCAATGCTGCACAAAGTCGTCGCAGCAATGCGCTTGTTTCCGCAAAACGGGCCTCGAAAGACGAAGGGCATCGGCGGCATGTCTCGGCGGCTGCGCTGGCTGGCTTCCTTCCCATTTCAGTAGTTTGAATTTTACTCGTCAGTCAAGGGGCCCATCATGCGCTTCCTAGCCAACGAGAAGAGAGATTATTATGGGCCTCTCCCTCTTCGGCCTGGCTGTTCCTCAAACTGGAATTTGATTGCCGCAAACACGAGTCGAGTTGCAACACCCTCCCCTCCGCCCCCGAGGCCGTCAGGGTCTGACTGAGCCATCGCAACAGCAAAAAACTAGCGTATGGACGGGCTGCTCAAATGCGCTATGCTGCGCCGTTCTAAGACTTTCTTCTCTGACGTGGCACCTTATCCTCAGTTGTCTCCCTACCAACATGAGATGAACGGGAGGGTTGCAATTTGCAAGCCTCCAGAAAATAACAGTTATGTTATTTTTGGACCCTGTGGGTCAACGACCAGGGTTGAAACAAAGCCGCCTGGACCTGAAAATCGCGCGGCTTGACGTGGAGATCGGTGAAGCACCAGAAAGGCCGACATTTGTACTGGGGAAGTCCTTCCCAAAAATTGCGACAGATTCCATCAATCTCCATGGTCCGCGAGACATTGGAGCCCCCTGCCTTTGACAACCACCAGGGGCTGACAGTCCGGGCCAATCAAATTGGCTGCTCTGTCCCAGCCGTTCGGTAACACAGTGTGACACTGGTGACCTACACCAAACCACGAGCTTCGGTTGGCTACATCCCTATGCCAAGAGCTTGTTGGTTGGAGAGTGATTGGAGTGGGGCAGATTCTCGACGTTCATAGGTCGTGGGGCAGATGCCTTCCCCTTCCGCCCTGCACAAGGCCTTTCTCGAGCAGCGTGCCTGCCCTCTGATGCTGCGCTGGTTGCGGGGTCCTGGCAGGTCCTTCTCTGGTCATGGAAATATTGCCATCGCTCGGCCAACTCGGCCAACTCGCTGCCTGCGCAGGACCAGAGCGCCCTTCCATTTCCATGCCCATCGCCCGTCTCAATGGGCAGTCAACGAACGACGAAGGTTTGATAGTAATGACGGCAAACGCAGAGATGCGGCAACTTGGTCAAGCCTGGAGATCGTTAGGCCCTGCACGTACAGATTACATACAAAACATTCAATGATGTATGTATGTAACAGTGCGAGGAGCAGGGGGACCGGGGAAGTTGCTGCATGGCAGCGCCAGCCGCACTCTGCAGAACCGGATCGAGATGGCCCCTGCTTAGAACGGATGGGAAGAGGCAAGCCATGAAGCCAAGACAGGCTAGAGATCTCCCATTCAAAACCCATCGCCGTCCGCGGGCCTCCATGAAGAAACCCGTTCGCGAGTGAAGATCGTCCTTAGATCAACCATTTTTTGAATGTGTTTTCTTTTGCATTTCCATTACGAGTAAGGAAAAAACGTACAAATATCCAACAGCAGGCAATGTGGATGGTTTAATGTCTCGGTACACGTCATATCTGCTCCCTTCGGAGATACCAGGTACATGTCGGGGCAGGTGCACTCGGCACGATAATTCAAGCGAGACCCCCATGGCGACGCCTTCCCCCCGCACAAAACCTTCACCAGGAGTAATTATTTTTCATCCCTACTTCAGTTTTCTTGCCTACCTCGGGCTGTTTTGGCAATTCTTTCCTTCCCCCACAATGATTTCCTGAGAAGTTCGCTTCCTAGCACATACCTCCCTCGCTGCTCATCACGCGGGCGCTGGAGTCTTGGGGGCAGGGGGCCACAATCTCTTCGTCCGAAGTTCGATCACAAACAGCACAAGGCTCTGGATCTGGAGGCTAGCACATTTTGTGTGAATAGCAACAGCACGCAGCGACGATCCGCTCCTTTCCTATCGTTCAGAGGCAGTTGGAGTCACCGTTTCCGACGGCTCACCTTGTTCCCCCCTCCGTTTCCGACGAGCAATCAATCACGAATGCAGTCGAAAACCCAACAGCGACATTCAGGGATTGGGGCCCAGAGCTTGCCGAGAAGTTACCCACTTAGTCGCTTCGATTCCCTTCTGCAGGTCTCACAGGGCGTTCAATGCCAATCAGGGTGTGAACGCAGAGCTACCGGGAGGACACCCCCGGGGACCAGGGCAGTTTGGTTAGCGGGCGCTTCTTCTGGCCACCCAGGATCCCCGAAGTACGGGGTACTTTCACTCCACGGCTGGCCGCGTCCCGTTTCTGTCAGATGATCTGAGCCGAGTCTCGTCTGAGTCGTCTCCCTCCCACCCTGGATCACCAAATCCGCGCTTGGCCCTCCAGATGCTCAGTTTAGAGGTTGATCTTTGAACTGCCACAGATTGCATCGGAATAATACTCAGGAGACATAAACCCTGGAAAACACAGTCGACTCGCGTCTGCCTCGACCATCTCGGGCAGATACCAGCTTTAGCAGGCTCCTCCGAACCCGGATACCCAAGTTATACCGGGTTTCCCAGTCTTCCTTCTCGCGGGATTTTAAAAGCCATCTGGCCTTGCCCAGTAACAAGACGAGTCTGTCCCAACCAGGCCCAGGGTCAGCTGCCGAGTTACCTCGCGCCGACAGCACCAGGCCAGCAATATCTGCCGTGTGTCCCGTCGACAACATATAAGAGGCTTGGGAGTCCGTGTCCTCAACCGCTTGCTCCGCAAAGTCCAACCCCTCATCTTCTCATCGATCCGTTGCGCGACCTTGTACGGTCGAAGTCACCATCTACTTCTACTGACAACAACACATCCACAATATCCACAACATCCACTTCGGAAGCCCCCTCTCATTGCCACCTCTCCGCGTCCCATAGTCTCCGCGCATTTTCCACGCATCCAAGCTGCGACATGACTTATCAGAACTACGAAGGCTTCTATCCTCCGGGGCTGCCGCCCAGGCAGCCCTTGGAGGCGCGCTCATCCTCAGTCTCGTCAACCTCGTCATCCGCATCATATTCCGTACCATATGACGCCGCCGCCACCCACAATGTCGGAATCTCGCGGACTGTGTCGCCCGCATCGGGGGTTTCCGACTTGGAAACGGACTCGGTTCTGTACTCGAGGAATCAGTTCTCGACGCTTGCTCAAGAGCATACGCCCACATCTGGTGTTTCTGGATCAGGGGAGGGCGGTGTGATATACTCAAGGAATCATTACCAGACACTTGGCCACGAACACCAGTCCCCATTTCGATCCCATGCCACGCCGCTCCCGTCGCAACTTCTCCAGGCCCAGGCCACTTCTTCGCACCCATTCTACTCGGCCTTTCAGGCCCCGAGACAGATTCTGCCGCTGCCGCCATACAGTGGCTACTCAGTCGGTGCTCTGCATCCGCAATCAACATCGTTACACCAACAACCAACCTCCCTAGACCATCAATCACCGTCTCTATACCGTCAGCCATCGTCCCTACACCATCAAACATCGTCCCTACACCATCAACCGTCCTCTCTCCATTATCAACCATCGCCTCTGCACTATGAATCCTGGCCTCAGGATTGTGCTCCCACACCTTACCATTCTTTGCCAACTCCGCCCTCGCATCAACTGCCGCCACAGAATCAGCCTCGGGCAAAGTCAGCCACACTAGACGAGCCAGCGCCGCTCCTGAGATTTCTGCAGCAACTATCACCCGCCATCATCCTCCAGATCCAAGAGGAGGTAACGTGGTTTCACTGTTGGAAGCTTTACCGGACCAACAGATGGTTCCGGGTCAACTTCCACCCGGACAGGCTCCCCGACCACTTGAAAATAGGCGGTCTGCTGAGCGCAGAGAAGAACGAGGGGCGCGAGGACCCCGAAGAGTCGGACACCCCCCGCACCACCAAGCCCCGCAAGAACTTTAACTTCTTCGGGTGCTACCACTGCTACCGGTTTAGGGGATTTGAATACTTTGAGTCTCAAAAATACGGCGTGCTGGCGACCCAGGGAGATGGCAGGGATGGAGGAGCGGAAAGGGAGCAGTCGTACACGCCGCCACCCTCGAAGAGCTCGAGCTTATCGCCTCCAGCCAACCCTCACTACGACCCCAGCCTGACCCGAAGCAGCCTCCGAGCCTCGGCAGCAGCCAAAGGGCGTCGAACAAGCACCTCACCGGCCGGCGACACCTTCTCGACTTCACACGCGCGCGCCAGAAAGACATCAGAGCAACGGCGCTTCTGCGTCGACTGCGGCCTGAGGAAAGAGTTCTACAAGCCGCGCGATGTCATTGATTTGCACCGGCCGCTGAACAAGGGGAACGCTCTCTGGGTTTGCGACTGTAGGAAACTGCGCCATCGCTTGACCGAAGGCAAGTGCTACGACTGTGATGCCACCGTTCCGTATTCAATACCGGTGGCGAGGTGATGGATCGGGCAGCTTCGATAGCACACTACGGGTTTTTTCTTCTGTCATCAACCACCAGGGAGGCATACTTGAGACGGCTTGGATTCTTTCGTTCATATTACGACTTGATATCACGGTGTTTTACGGTGGAGTGGAATGTTCTCTTGTGTCTAGATAGTAATCTCACGGTCCGTGTTTGAAAAAATGGTCTGGGTGGGTTTCATTAGCACGCACTGGCTTGTCTGGCGTTGTAGCCGAATTCAATTCATTCCGTCTGCCAACAACTGGTGATCCCTGATTGCATTCCACCCTTCCCATGGATCCCTCGTTTCTGATCCTCACATCCGTGCCAAGAAAAAAAGGGTGGCTGGCTAGCACAGAAACAAGACTTCCAAAGCGAGACACAGGCAGGGGGGTGTTCGGGGGGAGAAGAAGAAGAAGAAGCAAAACGGCGATTGACAACTGCCGAAATCTGTCTCGGGATCCTCCTCACGCGCCCTGAGCAGAGACACGCCACGCCTTCGCGGGCGTTGGGCGTTGGTGTTGGCTGGCTGGCGGAGAATATCCCCCCCTCTCCCCCCAAAATGAACCCATGCCCCATGCCCCACGCCCAAACCCACTCACCCGACATTAAACGACAAGCATCATCCATTATCATCAGCCTCCCCCCCCCCCTAACAGCAGCAACAACAGCAGCAGAGGATGGGGAGGGGAGGGACGAAACAGAAAGAGAGAGGGAAAGAGAGAGAGAGGGATAAAGAGGCGCGCGGGTCGGGCGCAGCAAGGGGGCGCTCGCTGGGCGGAGAGCAGCAGCAGAGAGCGGGAAACTGGGCAGGCCGTTTTGGGAGCGCCGTGCGCTAGTGCGTGGTCCCGACAGTCTGGCAAGCAATCAGAGGGCGCCGTTGGTTCCTGCGTTGCAGCGGCGCGGCCGAGGAAAACAGACTCGTCATTTTATTCTCTTCCCCCCCCCCCGCTATCCCGGTTGAGTTCGCCTGTGGGTTGTGTCGTCGTCGCTGCCGTCGCCGTCTAGAAGGGGATGGCGGTGCAACTGCCTGCAGTGTGCATAACTAGGTACTGTTGCGGCTGCATTGCGGCTCTTAAGGGGGGTGTCTGCAGCCATTTGAGTGATGCCATCCATGTCGGGTGGTGGACGGGCGGGACGGACGATCGGCTTTTTGTCATTTTTTTATTTTATTTTGAGCTGTGCGGGAGGGGAGCCGCCGTCTTCCGCGCCACGGGTCTCAGCTCCTCCGAGATTATGCGGTGTGGTGTTGCGTTGTCCATCTTCAGTGTCTCAGCTTGACCGTTGAAGCCCCGAGAGACTGCGGATCCCCCCATGTGAGGAAGGTCACAGTTCTCTGATGACGATTAACTAGCCTACGCGGCGGGGACCAAGGCCGGGGAGTGCGAGTCATAGAGGGTTGTCTCGGGCCCGGAGAGGAGAGGGTCGTTGGAGGAAGAAAAGGTCACCCCAGGTTGCATGGAGTCAACTTGGTCGTGGTGGTGGGGACAAGGATGGGAGTCGATGGTCATGGAACGGGTACCCCCGCAACTTGCGAGTCTGTGAACATGGAAGCGCCATCCTGCAGGGGGTGTTTGGCGTTCCCTAAACGGCTAAGTAGGGGACCATTGAACAGGTGTTGGCCCCGTCGACGACTCGAAAGTGCGCTACGGCAGTTTGCGGAATGGTGGCCAAGGAAGAGTTGCGCAAACAAGACCCCCTCTTCGCCGAAATCCATGTCCCTGTCAACTTGTCACGCTTGTCAACGGCAGCTAAGGGAGATCCGCTAATGCGCTATTGCGACCACTTGATCGATCCGAGTCCACTATCCTGCTTAGAAATCATCGTTGATACAAGGAAAGGCCTCGTCGACTGTCAAACTGGATAATATTGGCTGGCCAGTGAGAAAGGGGGGGCGGTGCTGCAGCCAGGGCAATCTCGAGACCAACAGCTTTAACTTCGGCGACCTAAGAACGGAAATCATGGATCCCATCGCCATCCACCAGCGGGTTGGCAGTTTTCCTCAAGCGGAAGCCCCGCCCACACAGGCTGGCTGCAAGGGAGTAAGTGCCACGAAAAGCTTCTGGATCTGGCCGAGCAAGCGTGCGACGGCCACCTGCAGGCATGTGAACTGGCCCCAGAATATTCTCTGAAGGTATGGGTTGCTTAAGCGCTGAACCGCGGTGGCGCGCTTAACCCCAAAATTCAACTGCGTGGGTAAGAAGAGACGAGAGCGGTGAAAGCCCGATTATCCAAAGAGGATCCGTGTTGGGCGCACCGGCCGTCAGCCCCCCGACTGCATCTGATGGTACGATGCGTGTTGGTAGTGGGTTGTCCGTCGAGTAGACTCGACGCGGTGATTCGGCAACACGTCCCGAATCTGCAGGAGCAAAATTCGCTGGCCATGCAGCGGCCCAAGGTAACATGATTTGAGTTATCTGCGGCCCACGGGAAATAATTATGGTTGCTTTTTCGTCTGTCCGCCGAGAATGGGGGACATGGGGGCTGTGGTAAGTCCGCCTGGGCAAACGGGCGCGCGTGGGTACCCAGGTAATCAGCCTGGCCTCGGTGACAGCGCTTATTGCTTTATGAAACTTGGCTATTGGCTTCAGTAAAATGAAATCCAGAGTGTCGGGTCGACAGCCACGGGGAATTCATGCGGGATTCATGAACGGCTTGCTCGGGGGACCTAACGCAGCAAGTCTTGCGAGTGAGTACCTAGTGAGTGAACGGGCCGGGGCATGGAAACTGTGGCGTTTCTCAAGATTTCAATCGATGTGTAGATCTGGCGGGAAACACACTGTAAGCTCCATGGAAGGTCCGATCCAGACGGAGGGAATGTGGGGATGCCAAAAAAGGTGTTTGAGTCTTCCTTCCCAGAACGTCCTCCGCTCCGTTCGTGCCTGCCAGGCTCCGTCCACCTTGACGGTTACCCCAGCTGCCCAAAAAAAAAAAAAAAAAAAAACTCTGAATATGGTTGCCTAACGCAGACTGAGTCAGACTGTTATAGCTCATACATTATGCCGTCACGGAAACAACATCACTCATGCTTGATACACTATTGACAATACTTGGTTTTCCCATCATATCCTTCCTCATGTGGCCGCAGACGGCTCCCCATCCAGAGGAGTTGTCTCCCTGAACCCCTGTTACAACAAGTTTGTTTTTATACACCCAACTGATTGGCCACGGCGAAAAGACCAAGAACAAGGTGGCAGCGGTGGCTTCACCCATCAGCCCTGTCATTCATGGATCTCCATCTCTCACATGGATGAATCTGTCACGCACCTCTCCATCTCGAATCTCCATTGGCCGCGTTATCCCTCAGCTTGTGATGATCTTCTGCCGGACACGCTGAAAATGCTGCACCACATCCCCGGGGCCTGCCGCAGAAGGGCAGCCATCATCACGGGCGCTTCCGGGAGGTGACCTGTCAGATGGACAGGGCACTTGCCACCCCCCCAATAGCTTAGGAGCTGGTGTCCGGATCCGCGTAGCCGCCACGGAAGCTACTGAGGAGAAAACAAGTCGACGGCCGCTATCTGTCCGGTCCGCTGAAAATTCTCCACGTTTGTTTGCTTCTGGCCACGAAGCGCCACCTCCAACCACCCGGGTCAGCAATGGTTGACGGTTGGTTGCTAGAAGTTTATCCCTCGGGTATCCCAGTTCAGTCCACTCCACTGCGGATCGCTGAGGCTCACCCCTCTCCTCTCACGTTCAAACTAGTCTCTGTGCGTGCTGCGCACTGTGAAGACACATCGTCAAGAACGCACTCCCTTGGAGCCTTCGATCCACCCTCATCGGCCCGTCCAAAGTGGCACTGGGAGTCATGTCAGTGGATGACGACGACCAACAGCTTGTGATCTGGCTCTTTCAGAGCCCGGATAGCGGCCGGGTTGAGTACCCCAGCCGACAGGCCGGCCAAGGAATTTAAATGAGGACAGGCTCTGCTCCACCGGCCGTGCTGGAAGGGTGTTGGGCCACGTTGGGCTCCTTGCGGTGGCCGAAAACCACTCAAAGTTGCTCGGGGTCTTGTGCCCTTGCGCAGCCAGGCCCAGCTTGTGATAGCAGGTGCCAAGGGTGAAGAGGAGGTAGGCGATCCACAGACTCATTACCGCCAGGAACCTGGCCAGTCTGTGAGTCTCGAGTCGCGGTGAATGCGGCCCAGGCACACATTATGTCTCTCGGATGTATCGTATACATTGCGAGTAAAAAGCCAGCAACTTGCCCCACGTTGGGATGGTATTAATCCCCGAAGAAACTGAAAACGGTGAAGAGAAGCGAGGGTCAGTATGAAACGGACAGAGTCAGGTGTTGTCTACATTTCCCCACCGAGTTCTCCGTTCATCAACACGAGCCCATTGGAGATATCATCCGGTAAAAAGCTTTGCTTGAGAGATCTGAAGATGAATGCTGATGGGGACTTGGCTACCTGGAAAGTCGACTCGGGATCGACCGGAGCCATGCCGTAGATCGTTTGATTCTTTGAACGATCAGAGAAGCTCTGAGATACACAGAACAATCCTACGGCTTGATTCTAAAGCAAAACAGAAACGCCAACTTTGGCACACAGAAGAAATGCATGGTGTTTGAATAAAACGCTTTTATCAATACGCAGTGTGGCGTTGCGTTGTTGAAGCCGCCGCTCCCTTTCTCGATCGAGCACACCACAACTACACATGTGCCTATGAGCAACGTGAGCAATGATATTCTCCTATGTCACGTACTAAGATCCCAATAACCATTCACAGTCATTGCCGCCTGTGACCTTGGCCTGAGCCATCTTTCCGCCGACAAGGCCAAAATCTGGTCGGTTGCCCGGCTGGGCACCCATGGTCCGTGCGCATTATTTACTCCCCCTTTTCTACACACTCCGCCGCCATCCACGTCTTCACGGCGCATGGCGGCATTGCCGAAGAGTACGTGAAGGTGAGTAAAGCAGCTAATTATCAACCAGTTGGGGACATAGAGACAGAGAACGGGGCAGCTGCAGTGCTCGGGCAGACCTCTCCTGTGAATAGTGACTGGCGAGGTAATTAGGTAGGGAGGTAAGCAAGGTAGCGGTCTCTATCTCCCAAAAAAAGAAGAGGGAATTCACGAGACAATAGAGAATTGAACATCAAGCATATCAACCACCGCGCACCAGTTTTTACATTCCCCCCCGCAATAATCTACACGCATTCAACAAGCCAGGGTGCCACCACAGCCCAACCCCAACCTCCTCCTCATCACGCTCCTCCCTCCCAGCAACCATCATACCCCGATTTCTCTTCTAGGTAGACGGGATACAAAAGTCGATCCAAGTGCCCAGGTAATCTAAGCGGGCGCCCCGGGCCTCGGCGCCCTTGTAGATGCGCTCAAACTCCTCGAAGCTCAGCCTGCCCCAGCCGCCGCGGGCCTTGGCCTCTTCCTCGGCGAGGTCGAGGCGTTTCCAGTGGACCAGGTCGCTGCGCTTAAGCTGCACGGGCGGCGTGGAGCTGCTCGGCTTCTTCTTTCCGTTGGCTGTTGTGGTCCCGGTCGGTTTGTTGGTGATTGGTTCTGCGGCGGCAGCCGGTGCGGCTTGGTTGCTCCCGTTCGCAGGTTGCGGCTGGCCGCGCGGGTGCGATACTGGTTCTGAGTTTAGGCGGAACTGAGGCATGGTGGGGTCACGATAGACAACGGATTCGGTGCATGAGAGCTCCTCAGCAGGCGACTCATCTGTCGTTAATGGCGGCATGGAGTCATCGTCATTGTCGTCGTCATTGCCATTGTCATTGCTATCGCCGTCGTCGTCGTCATTGTCATAGTCGCTGGTTTCATACTCGTCCTCTGCCGCTTCTTCTTCGGCGTTGGTTTCAGTTTGGGCGACACCATTATCAATTGAATAACCAGTGAGCGCAAGCAGTTGTTGCAACGACTCTTCTTGAGATGTCTCGCGCCTCTTCGAAGCGGAGCGAGAGCTCGCCTCTCCCTCTTCCTCGTCGGGATTGATAGACTCAAACACCGGCCTATAATGGTTGCGCTTCTCCTTGGTTTGCGCAGCTTGGACTGCCAGGTCCTCTTTGACCTTGAACAGGGTATCGAGGATCTCGTTGAAGGCCTGTTGGCTAACTTGGTAGAAGATCTCTTTGCCGAGGTCACGCTCGGCATCTGGGATCTCCATACCCCCCCACCTCTCGGGGATGCTCCTCGAGGACGTCGAAGGGTTGGATCGAACGTCAAAATCGTCCGTGTCTTCGACAAATCTTACCTTGGAGGAGGAGCGAGACCGGGTTGACAAAGGAGGCTGTGCCGCCTTGGAATCGCTAGCTAAGCCGTCGAGAAGCGCAAGGACGTCGTCATCGTCGCTCCAGTCATCTGGGGGTACCATGCCCTCTTCCTCATCGAGGTAGAACTGCCGCCTCCTCCACCGGTCAAATAGTTTGCCTCGCGCCGTGGCTCTTGACGTGACTCTATACGAGGGCCGACGGTGGTCTCGCCCGTCTGGTCTGGACCCTTCACGGTCCGACGACCGATTGGCGTTGGCATGGTTTTCAGCGCTGTCATCTCCAGTCCCCCCTGGGCTGTGTGAACCCTCCTCTCCACCTTGGCCTTCTTGCTCGCCCTCCCCCTCCTGGCTACCGTCAACGACGACAAAGAAGTCGCCGCCGACGCGAGTCTCGCCGAGTAGAAGGGCTGGAAGTTCACTGATTCGGGTCGGTGGGTTCAAGAGCCCGTTTAGATACTCCAACCCGGATCCTCTCTCACCGGCCGCCCGTGGGTGATCCATGACGGGCATGAATAAACTCTCGGTAACCTGTGCCTGCCTGGTAAATACGTTCGTCAAGATGGACTGGCGATCAGCGGTGTCGGGGGTGTCTTCGTTCAGGGCCCTGGTTGTGCCATCCGTGATGTGAGTCTCCCCGGTGTGGAGGTTGATCACTTTACCCTCCCTTGGGCGGTCGGTATCGGGTTGAGAGAAGCCCCCTTCACGGCCAAACAAGCTGCTTAATGGTTGCCGGCTAGTCACAAGCTGTTCGACTTCAGTGGAGCTCATGACTTGGTCGTCAAGTCCGTCGAGGATGTCCCGGTGCATGTGTTTGAATACGACGTAGTAAGCTCGGAACAAGCGTAAGCAATCTCTGCGGT